TGCATTCCTAATTGTGGTTTCACAGTGTGAAAAAATTAAAGCCACTTTTAAAAATGGGAAACATATAATGTGACAGAAAGAACCTGGGCTCTGGCATCAAATAGACTTGAGTTCAAGTCTTGGTGCTGCTACTTTCAACCTATGAGGTCTTTCTTGGGCATGCTGTATATCCTCTCTGAGTCTCAATTTCTTTATCTATAAAATATGGAAAATAATATGCACATCAGTGTGTTAATGTAAAGATTAACAGAGAGGATATATTTGAAGTACCAAGCGTAGGCTGTGTCTTACAATATGTACTCAGTAAAAACTGGTAGCTGTTAAACATTTTCTGCTGTTGAACTCTAAGGTAAACTTTATATTTTATATGTTACATATTGTATGAACTAGACTTAAAAAGAATCTGAAGTTTAACATACAAAAGGAAGTACAGGAATATCCTTACGGTATAGTTTATAGTTTATAGCAATAATGTATGGTTTATAGCAATAATGCATGCCTATTCTCTACAGGCTCTATTAATTGTAAGAAATATCAACCCATTAAAATAAATTCAAGCAAAGGAGACTTACTGTACAGAGCCAGATAATTGCATTTTGGCTTCCTGGAAACTGGAATGTAAGATACAAAGGCTATCTTTCTTTTGTTTTCCAGGAGTGACATATTCCTGCTCCTCTCTGTAGTGTGGGCTCCATCCTTTCATTCCTGACTGATTTTCCTTCTTCACGTTGCATGTGGCTCAGATTGGCTGTGAGCCCCTACACTACCTTGCAGTTTCAGTAATACTACCAACTAGATGCTTCCCCTAGAACCCCTTCTTTGAATTCATCAAAACCCAGCTAACAATTTCTGAGAAAATTTTCTAGACTCTTTAAGTAAGTTCACAGTATTAATAGTAACAACACTCCCTGCCCTACTCCTTAGAAAACTCGCCTCTATAATCTCCCATCGACCCATCTTGGGTTTAGTAATCCTGTGGCGCAGGCACCCTGTGCGCCAACAACCACTGCTAACATCAATCCTCCAACGGATTTTTTTCATGCCTCCCCAGATCAACAACCCTCGATGCCTCCTCATTGCCTGTGGGTCAAGAATAAACTCCCTGGCGGTCCAGTGGTTAAGACTCTGCGCTTTCACTGCAGGGGGCGCTGGTTTGATCCCTGGTCGGGGAACTAAGATCCCACATGCCGCATGGCACGGTCAAAAAAACCCAGAAAAACAAAAAAAGAGGGATAAACTCCTCAAGTTTGACAGCACATTCCCCTGGCACCCTAAAATGAACTTAGTGTGATGAAACCTCTCTGGCCAAAGGTTTCTGTCTTGCTTTGGCCTCTGCTCCTGAATGCTCCCCTCTGAGGGCCCCATCCACCTCCTAACTCTTACGGAGCCTCTTACCTTCTACGCAGCATTTATCCCAACCACTTATCGAATTTCTATGCAACTCCTTCAGGCATAACCCAGTAGTGGACACGTGGTAAAGCTGGAAAAACCTATTCATATGTCTCCCAAGCCCCACAAGCCTCTGGTCAGAGGGAGGGAACGCAGCTCTCAATGACCTTGTCCAGGATGTGGCCCCAGGCTCTGTCTGGATACTTAATGTACTGTAGTTTTCTATGCATAGGATCTGCTTTCTCATTTAGATCATAAATTTCTTTGAGGGTAGGACCATGGTTTCTCCATTTAGCAAGCCTAACACCTGTGACAGTACTTTGCATGTAATAAGCAATTATTCATTTATTAGTTCAATTAAACTAAAAATATTTCTGTTGGGTGGGTTCGGTAGGAGAAGATAAAATCATGAGCATTCGTTGTTTACCGTAATTAAGCCTGTTATCAGGAGTGTGCTACCGATAATACTTTTGGGGGTTCCTACTATTCTCCTCTCCTCTGTGTCTTTTTTATCCGATTGCTATAAAGATTTCTCTTTATCTTATTTTAAGAATTTGACTGTAATGTGCTGTATGTATGAATGTATGTACGAATGTATGTATGAATGTAATGTGCTGTAATGTGTAAGGTTTGGTTTTCTTTTTTTTTTTCTCATTTATTATGTTTCAGGGCTTTATGGGTTGCTGTTTATTATCAAATTTGGCCATTATTTATTCTGAAATTATTCTGTCTCTTTCCCTTTCTTGCTTTCTAATAATATTCCACAGGTTACTTTTACTTTATTCAATATTTTCCCCAATATTTTGTCTGTTTGCTTCAGTTTGAATAACTTCTACTGGCCCAGTTTCAGATTTACTGAATTTTTTTTTTTTTTTTTTTGCAGTGCCTTGAAGTCCATCCAAAGACTATTTTTTTATTTAATATATTATAATACTCATTCTAGAACTTTCATTTGGCTCTATTTTGCAGTTTTCATTTTTTTCTATATGCGATATTTAGATGTAATACATACACGTTATATTCATAATTACACATACATATAAAATATATATGGCACATATGTATATATGCCATATATGTATATATCTATATACGTGGCATATTTATATGTTTATACCTTGTGTACATATCTTTTCCTATAAATTATTTCACATATACACCATAGTTTTTTAAATCCTTGTCTGCTAATTCCAAATCCTGAGTCATCTACAGGTCTGTTTCTATTTACTGTGTTTTCTCTCTACTATGGGTCATATATTCCTGCTTCTTGTTATGACTCAAGATGTCATTCTGAACATTATGTAAAAAATAATTTATAGTATTCTGAAAATCATGTATTTATAGTTTTCTGAAGATTGTGTACAGAAACTCAGTAGAGACTGAAGCATGGTATTTGTTTTGTTTTATTTCCCAAAGTGTCTAAGTCGTTTGTTCTGGCTGACTGTGAAAACAAGGGTCTGAGCATTCAGATTCCTTTTGGAGTTGAGTTGAGCTGGAGCGGGACTGTGAATAACCCAACTTCCAACCTCCTGAACAGCCACTGTTTTGGTAGTTCATGTTTGAACTAGAAAGGCATTGACTGATGTTTCAGATATTTTTGATTCATGTTTTTATTTATTATTGGCAAGGCCCTTGTACCTGTAACTTTGGTAAATTCACCCATTAGTTCTCATAGGGTTTTTCTTAATGGATTTCTCAGAATATTTTACATAAACAATTATGTTACCTGTGAATTAACAGGGTTTTTTTTATACAGCAGGTCCTTATTAGTTAACTATTTTATTGAATTAACAATTTTTCTTTCTAAGCTTTACCCCTTTTACTTATTCATTTTTGTTTTCTCCCACTGACTAAGAGTGCCAATAAAATGTCGTGTTGAAGTGGGAAAAAGAGATACTCTTGCCTTAGTTCTGATCTTTCTTTAATGAGAAATCATTCAATATTTCATCATGACATAAGATGTAGATTTTTCAAGAATGGTCTTTATCATATGGGAGGCAAATGCTTCTTTTCCTAGTTTTCTGAGAGTTGTATCATGAATGGATAATGAATATTGTCAAATGCATTTTACACCCATTGAAAGTATATTCTGTTAATATATTGAATTACATTTATTGATTTTTAAGTGTTAACTCAACTTGAATTCTTGGAATAAAACACACCTGGTCATCATATATTACCCTTTTCATTGCTGGATTTTATTTGATGATAGTTTTTGAAATATTGTTTCATCTATGTTCATGAGAAATATAAATCCATAATTTTTTTTTTCTTGGAATTGCCTTTGGCAGACTTTGGATCAGGGTAATTCTGGTCTCTTACAGTGGAGTGAAAAGTGTTACCTCCTATTTTTTTCTAAAAGAATTTATGAAAGATGGCTGTTATTTTTCCTTAAATGTTTGCTAGCATTCACTAATGTGACCATATGGCCATGGAGTTTTTTTAAATGTTTAATTATGAATTCAATTTCTTTAATTGGTATAGGACAGTTTTTAAAAGTTGTTATAAGTTTTTATAGTTTGTGTCTTTCAAGAAAGTCTGATTTTATCTAAATTATTGAATTATTTGGCATAATATTGTTCATAATATTCTCTTATCATCCTTTTTAATATCTTCAGTATCTCTAATGATCATCTTCTGGATTTGTAAATTGTCTCTGTTGTTCATAGATTTTCTATTTCAGTGATTTCTGCTTTTTATTGTTTCCTGTCTTTTACTTACTTTGGGTTCAGTTGCCTTTCTGTCACTGGTTTCTTAAGGTAGAAACTTAGATCACAGATTCTAAACCCTTCTTTTCTTATGTAACCGTTTAAAGATATAAATTTCTCACTAACCACTGCTTTATTTGCATATGACCAATTTTGATTTGGTTTTTCCTAAGATTTTATTTTTCAGGGTAGTTTAACACTTACAGCAAAGTTGAACAGTAGGTACAGAGATTTTCCATCTACCCCCTGCCCTGCACATGCGTAACCTCCCCTATTATCAGCATCACTCACCGGAATGCTGCATTTGTTACCAAGGATGAACCTACACTGAAAGTACATAGTTTACCTTAGTGTTAATTCTTGGTGCTGTACATTCTGTGAGTTTGCATGATGTATAATGACATACATCTTTCATTACAATATCATACAGAGTATTTTCACTGTCCTAAAAATTCTCTGTGCTCTGCCTATTCATCCCCACCCCAATCCCACCCCTGGCAACTATTCTTTGTGCTGTTGTTGTCACATATACTTTTATCCTATATCATAAATTACACAGTTCACTGTCTTTCATGAATTAAGAGAAAAATAAGATAATCTTTTGTATTTACCTACAAATTTACCTTTCTGTCACTCTTCATTCCTTCCTGTAGATCTGAGTTTTTGTATGGTTATTACAAATAACAAACAAATGAGGAAGCTTAGCTATCATGGAAGCTTTACTTATTTATTAACTTTTAATGGACCGTCACGTTCACCTGATTAACCAAAAAGTCTTAGCTGTGGGTTTCAATTCCTATTATTGTGAGATCACCTGCATGTTCAGTAGAGTGATATACAGAGTTTATTAAGAAAGCATTGCTGAAATTTCAACTTTTTCTCTGTTGCTTCCTGCTCCAACAGGTCTATGGAAATGCAGGACCTAGCGAGTCCTCATCCTCTTGTTGGAGGTGGCGATACTCCTGGTAGCTCCAAACTGGAGAAAGCTAATCTCAGCAGCACATCGGTCACCACAAACGGGACAGGAGGTAAGTGTACAACCCTGAAGACACCCAGAATCACATTTCAAACTTCGTTGTGGCTTTACATGTTAGGAATCTGCTAGTAAATAAATATTATATCTCATAAGCAATAACATCACAGCATCATACTCAAGTAATATATAGTTAATGGATTATTTATTGTTCTGTTGATTTTCTTGAAATTTTTGCTCCTCCTCTATAGCTGGAAGCATTCAGAAAGAATAGATAGCCCCGAGCAACATTTTGAAGGCCTTTAGCAAGGCTTCCTTTTTGTATTTGCCCTTGTACATATTTTTCAAAATGTAAAAAATGTGGCCCAAGGATTTACTCTCTGATCTTACTCAACAACAACAAAAATAGAAAATGGAAAAGAAATTCTATTAGTTTTTGGTTTTATTTTGAATTTTAAGAGAAAGTCTACTCCAAAATTTTTCTTAAAAATGGTTTTTCTTAAAAATGGTTTTGGGAATGGAAAAATGTCCATATCTGCTGCATTTTCTTTTCAAAGAGAGAAATACCTAACATGTATTTAAAATAGGAATTGAATTTTTTCTAGATACCTTTTCATATGATTAACTCATAATTATGCCACAACATATGGCAACAATAATAACTATTTCAAATATTTCACCCTATTGTTTTTATAAAATGCATTCAACCTGTCAGAAAATACGATCTGATTTTTGCATCAGAATATGTATACGTAGAAAGCCTATACATATATATATATACATATATACACATATATAAGCTGCATTTTCAATTACTCACAATTATTTTGAAGTTTTGTAGATTTAGTTGTTTTTGTCGAGTGAAAAATTACTTGAAAATTGCTTTAATTTGTAAGCTATTCATATTATTAGATATCAGCATTTGCCACATCATATTTTCTTTTAAATTTTCAGTAAATATTTATTAAATCGATACACCTCTTTCCACTTATTTTAGAGTAACTGTGAAATCTAAAATTTTCTTTGTAAAGTTGTGTGGATTGCAACTTGCCTGTATTTAATAATGTTTTACATAAAACCCTTTGTAAATTAACATTTTCCTTGTTTTATAGTGTTTGTCTCTAAACATGCATCTATAATTTTGGCTAATTAATTATAGGATTGCAAATTTATAAGATTGTTTAGTGATAACTTGTGGAGTAAGAACATTTATATTTAAACCTTAACTTGGGTGCAAATAATAAGATTTAAAAAAAAAAAAAATGCACTCTGAAATCAGACTTTGAAGGTCACTAATCACCATGTATGTATATTTAACTGAACTAAAACATACCTGATAAACTAAAATGTAAAAGTCATACCATGCAGTTATAATTTTGGCAAAAGGGTCAGAAACCAGTACAAGCACTGAAGACTATTCTCGTACACTGAGCAGGCATTCAGACAATGAACCCTTATGCTGTTCCTGTTCTCAGGGGACAACATGACTGTTTTAAACACTGCAGACTGGTTGCTGAGTTGCAACACCCCCTCCTCCGCAACAAGTATGAGAGATGATGGTACACTGCATGTGTTTGGGTGTGTGGATTTGCCCTTCTGGTTTGCTTTCTGTTGCTATTTCTGTTTGCACTCTCTTTTCTGTGTTCAGTACTTGTTATAAAAAAAAAAAAAAAGGAGACATGAACACACCTTTTAGTTGTTTATTGATAACAGTTGGCTATGTTTTTCTTATCAACTAGTATTCTAATCTTAGGTCAGTAGTATTCTTTTCTTAGTGTTTTCATAATTTTGCACAAACGGGTGCATCTACTATTTTTCTATCAGTTTATTAAGTGATAATTCAACACAACTGTCACGTCAATGAGCAGTTGAAGCAGATTGCGCCTCTGTACAAACTCAACCTCCAAAGCCTACAGGCTTTCATAAATTAAATTAAATTCATAACATGGCAAAATGATATTTCCTATTTTACAGACTTTAATAAATATTCCAATTAAAATACCTAAAGTAATATTAACATTTAAAAATCCATCATTTAAAAAATTACCAGTGATGAAAGCTATACATTTAAAATTATAAATTAATATTAAATCTCTTAAAATGTTTTGAACTATATGTATTAACTACATTCCTATATTTATATATATATAATATAAATAAACTTTTTCCCAAACCAAAAGTTAATATGCTATCAAAATTTAAAAATTAAAACAAAACCACATAAAACTTCTGTAGAACCACCCAATTCTAGCATTAAAAAGAAGAGCTCACGACCTGTTAGAAATGTGCATTACAAGCAAGCAGTTAGAATAGGCACAGTTTGCCTGGACCTTGCTGTATGTAGATTAAATTAGAATATAAGACCAGTGGATGAAAAGTACTCCATTATGCCCGTTATTTAAATTTTTATCGTTTTAGTTTCTTTTTTTTTAACGCCACACTTAAAATATACTTTTCATACTTAAAAAATATGTTGCCAGAATTTAGTTGCTCTTAATTCTCACTCAAGGGTCTTTTTTTGCAAAAAACCAGACAGGAAATGTTTTAGGCTTTGTAGGCTATGCTGTCTCTCTCTGTCTCATCTATGCAGCTCTGTCGCTGTAGCTCAGATGCAGCCATAGGCAATACATAAATGAATGAGAGTCGTCAGGTTCTAATAAAACTTGATTTATGGACCCTGAAATTTAAATTTCATATAATTATCACATGTCACAAAATATTCTAATTTTGATTTTTTTTTTAAACATTTAAGATGTAAAAAACATTCTTAGCTCACTGGCTCTTGTTCTATTCTGACATATTAATGTAACATAAGCAACTTTACAATAGTGAATATATACAATCAATATTTAGTAATTTACATCTAATATCCAACAGAAAAATTTTTTTAAGTGTAAAACATCAAGTTTTCCTTGTTCTTAGTATAAATGTTTAAGAGTTGTGTGACCATGTGGGAAAAAAAAGGACTTCTGTGTCAGGAAGACCATGGATCTGAAACCTGGCACTACATTTACTAGCTGTGTCATCTTGGACAAGTTACTTAACCTCTCTGAGCTTTAATTCTTTTCTACAAAAGAAGGATAATAATACTTTACTGGCAAAGCTTTTGTTTTAAATCATATAATGTATGTAAATTTGGGGCAATATAAACCAATATATTTTCCTTAATTAATAATTCAATAATAATTAGGCAACAGCTTTTTAAGGAAAATGGAAACATGCAGTGTGTTAAAAGACCCTCCAGTGTTTGGTCAGATAATAAATTTTTCTGCATTTAGAACATGTAAACTGGCCACAGTTTATTATTATTATAATAAAACAAAAGACAAAAGCAAAAGCTAATTTAGTGGCTTTTCAAGATCTTTCCATTAACTTAGATTTTCAAAAAGATAATTTTGATAGTTTTTACTGATACAAATGAGTCAATAGTATCACCTTAATATCCTACCCTACTACCTTGGTGCTGTTTAAATATATTACATTACTCCTTAAAAGTAATTTTTAAAGGGGTTCATCACCTTAATCCTAATTCTGTAATTACATCTGCAGATTTATATTAGAACCTAGATTTTCCTTTCAAATTTTTGTCACTTGTGAAATTGTTAAAATGAAGAACTGTCAATAAAAATATAATAAATATAATCATATCTTAGCATACAGATCAGTGGTCAACAAACTTTTTTTGTAAAAGGTCAGATAGTAAATATTTTCAGCTTTGCAGGCCATATGGTCTCTGTTGTAACTATTGAGCTGTGCTTTCATTGCACAAATGGAGCCATAGACAATAGTTAAACAAATGAGCTTGACCATATTCAAATAAAACTTGATCAATGAACACTGAAATTCGAATTTCGTAAAATTTTTATGTCACAAAATTTTATTCTTCTTTGATATTTTTCAACTATTTAAAAATGTAAGAGTCATTCTTAGCTCATGGGCTATACAAAAACAGACCGTGGGGTAGACTTGGCACTTGAGATGTAGTTTGCCAACCCAGATATAGATTCATGTATGCTACTTCATGTATATGTATATACATGCATGTAAATGCATGCCAATCATGTGAAAAGTTACTTCCATATATAAGTGAGATTCTAATTTCCCTAATGGTGTCAAGATACATGATTAACTATACTTTATATACAAAATACTTAGATTTATTGGAAGTGCTTAGGATAGGGTCTAAATGTGAATTTTCACTTTCTAACTTAAAATGTATCAGGTTCCTATTATATGCCAGGTTCTGTGCTAGGAAATGGGAACCCAATGACCTATAGAACATGATACTAGCCATCAAGGGACCAAAAGTCTAGCAGAGGGAAACAGAAAAGAAAATAATGAGTGAATAATGTGTTCAAGGTGGGTGCACAGCAGAGGGAGGGAATATTTGATTCTACATGGAGATTAAGAAAATACTTCAAAGAGAAGATTTGGGGGAACCAAGATCAGACATTCTGATTTGGGGGAACCAAGATCAGACATTCTGATTGGGTTTATGGTGTTTTCTATATTTGAAATCTGTAGAGCATAGAAAAGAATCTCCCAGAGTTTTTAATATATAGATGATTGATTCACATGGGATGAATTTGTTTCTGAGTATTATGTGTCTGTGCAGTAGAACCAGCTACTACTGTGGCTCTACTCCTTTTAGATTTTCTTTCTGGAATGAAAGCCGTAAATTGGAAGCATCATCAAATTATTTTACAAAACTAAATACTTCATGGATATTTAGAAATGAAAGACACTTGGTGCTCATAGGTTTTTGAGTGAAAAAATTAATTTAGAAAAACATAAATCATAAAACTAGTAGGCAATACCTCTTTCCTCCCCTGCAGTGTTGTAAATTGTATCCTTCCTGATCTAACTCCTCCTGAAATTCTTTGTAGAACCTAAGTTGTCAGAGGTGGCTATGTGAGATTTTGTGGTTCAGGAAGGAGTATATTTGGAATTACATATATAGTCTTTTAAGTGGACACCAGTTTAAACACAGATCTCTGAAGATGAAATGTAAAATGTAAAGTACTTGGGTTACCTCTCTTTCAAGGGTTAATTAAG